TTTCAGACACAGTTGCTGGGGCTGGATTTTATATTTTTGGTGTTATATTTTAAAATTCTGTGTTACCTTTCAGCTGTGTTTTCTTTCTTTTAATCCAGTAGTAAATGGCTTCATGTAGGGTTGAAATGGTTGAAACTAAAGAGAAGATAGAATCTGGAAGTAATTTTCAGCAGTAGAGAAATGAAAGAAAAGGGGAAAATACAGTAAGATGAAGGGAACAGTGAAGTACAACTTGCTTTTTCTCAGTAATTGACATTTTGAATGAAATTACTTTTTCTTTGGGACCTTGTAGTTAAAAGAAAGTGAAAAGCATGCTGAATATTCAGTAGTTCCCGCTTCTCAAGTACATGGCAAGTTGGCATTTGAACTGTTTGCCTGCCTCTTATTTTTCATTGTCATTTGAAATCAGATGGCAGTGAGACAGTCCTCTGCGACCCCTGTCTATTCAGCCACTGGGCTTCCTCGCCTGTCTGCCTTTTGACTCACAAGGAGGGGTGAGTATGAAAACCTGGGAGTACTCAGACTGTGGTGGGTGCAGGATGTGGGAAATGCATCTGTAGAACGTCAGCCTGGAGTAGGAGAACGATATCCTAAAGGTGGAAGGCTTTCTAAAGTGCCTTTAGATTTGATTTTTTGAGCTGGTTGGCATGCTTGGGGATTCCCAGTCCTGAGTCCTTTGTAGGACGGGATGTTTCCTGTAAGGATAGCATTTTGATTTCAGAAATTGTAAAGTACCTTGTTGTAGTGCATTGTTTGTGAGAACATGTTTGGACTCTTGGTCAACATCATCTTGTGTTTTCCCCGAGAACTGCTGGGTGGCCTTGAGAGTGGTTTGGGCCTGAGGCCTTCAGTCTTAAGTTTTCATTTCATGTGACAGACTTTCTTGTTCAAGAGGTGGATCGCTCAGACTTGATGTGTCTCCACTTGTGTGACTTTTGTTTCATGATAGATTTTGAGATGAAATTGGTGGAATGAATGCTTCCTAATTCATCTCTTTGTCCAGAGACTTGCAGGAGTCTTTGTTTTAACAATTGTCATGATTTTTTGTTTAGTGCTTTTTTGAGTGTTTGAAATGTACCTGCTGTGTGTGGCAGCTATGGTGGGTCCCTCACAGAACACATGGGCTGGTGCTACCAGTTAGGGAAAATGGGCCAAGTGTAATGCAATAGACAGGGATATTGCACAGACAAGTTTTATTCAGTAGGGATAAGTGGGAATGCTGAAATCATATTTTATATTTTCACATTTATAAATTTGAAGAGCTTGTTACAACAGATGTATTCATTTTTAAAATTATGTATTCATTTATATTTATTTAATACATTTGAGAGGCAGTGGGAGAGAGAGATTGCATTCATTGGTTTAATCACCAAATGCCTTCAACTGCCAGATCTGGCCTGGTTGAAGCTGGGAGCCAGAAATTAGTCTGGGTCTTCCTGTGTGTCAGGAACCCAGCTACTTGAGCCATTACCACTGCGTCCTACGGTCTGCATTAACAGGAAAGTTGAGTGCTAGAGGCAGGACCAGAGCTAGGTGTCTAACCCAGGCACCCTAATGTGGAACACAGATGTCTTTTTTTGTTTGATTTAATTTATTTGAAAGGCAGAGTGATGGAGAAGGGAAAGAGACAGAGGGAGAGAGAGATCTTCTATCTGCTGGTTCACTCCCTAAATGGCCAGGCCAAAGCCAGGAGTCTGGAACTCCCTCTGGGCCTCCCGCATGGGTGGCAAAGCACTTGGGCCATCTTCCACTGCTTTCCCAGGCACATTAGCAGGGAACTGGATTGGAAGTGGAGCAGCTAGGACTTGACCTGGCTATCATCTAGGATGCTAGCATTTTAGGTGGCAGCTTAATCCACTGTACCACAAGACTGATACGTAGGAATTTTATAAGATGGTGAAACTGTAGCTCAGTCTGGTGCTATGAGGGTGGATCCATGTCACTATATGTTGCTCAACACACCATGAAATGCACAGCTCTCAGAATGTACCTTAGTGTGAACTCTATGGACTTTGGGTGATAATATTGTGCCAAAGTAGATTAATTTTTTTTTTTAATTCTTTTATTGCACTCATTTCATCTATGAAATTTCTTTCTTTCTTTTTTTTTTTTTTTTAAGATTTATGTATTTATTTGAAAGGCAGAGTTAGAGAGAGGCAGAGGCAGAAAGAGAGAGAGCAGTCTTCCATCCTCTGGTTCACTCTAAATGACTGCAATGACCTGAATTCCGGAGCCAGGAGCTTCTTCTGGGTCTCCCATGTGGGTGCAGAGGCCCAAGGACTTGGATCATCTTCCACTGCTTTCCTAGGCCATAACAGAGAGCTGGATCAAAAGTGGAGGAGCTGCTGGCCGTTGCAGCCGGTTGGGGAGTAAACTAGCCGATGAAGACTTCTCTCTGCCTCTCCCCTCTCTGTGTAGCTCTGACTTTCAAATAAATAAATAAATCTTTAAAAAAAGAAAAAGAAAGAAAGTGGAGCAGCTGGCACTCGAACTAATGCCCGTATCAGATGCCGGCACTGCAGGCAGTAGCTTTACCCCCTATGCCACAGTGTCCCCAATTCATTGGTTTAACAAAAGTAGTGCTTTGATGGGGGATGTTGATGGCCAGAAGGCTCTATAGTAGGATAAGAGGTATATGAGAAATCCCTGAAGTTTCTGCTGTTCTGCTGTGAACCTTAAACTGCTCCATAAGGTGGAGTATTTTATAAAACACCAACAACAATATATTGGTCCACTTTTCTTTACTTTAAAATACTCAAGAGGAGCTTCTTTGGGAAAGAAAGGGTTTATTTCATCTTACAGTCTGAGGTTATAGGATCAGGCGATCCCAGTCTGGTGTCAGTGGAGGTGAGTTATGGCAAGTGTGGCAGCAGTGATCACATCTCAAGCCAGGAGTAGAGAGAGAACCTAGATTGAAACTAGAGCTGAAATAATAAAACCTCACATGAGACTCCCCCATGACATGTCTCCGTGACCCCAAGATCTCGTGCCAGCCCCACCTGTCAGACACCATCATTACATCAGATCTGCACCTCAATCCATCAGCCATTAAGACACCCGAGTTTAAACCCCTGCTTGAGTGCTGGGGAGCCAGGTCCTAGTTAACACAATGAGCATACAAGCCAACGTTGAGGAGAGAGAGCACACTACATTCTCTTTATGATCCCCCAGAAGGTGTCTCTTAACCTCTGTTACTTCTCCAAATCCTTTCTGTTGTCGAACGGGATGCCCTGACGCTTGGAGAACTGGGATGTGATGAGACCTGGGATTTCCCCTGGTGAGTGCATAGTTATGAGAGCATCGATTTCAGTTCCTGTTTCCTTCCTTCTGATCACGCATCGTGGCTGCGCTGTTGATATTAGGGTTGCAGTTCTGGTGAACGGATTCTCTGGGTAAATTCCATGTTAGCCAGAATGCTCTAGGGAAAGTTAAGAACAGTAGAGCTTAGATGGTATTTGGAAGTGTTGTGTCCTGGGGACCAGAAGTGGTTAAACCCTGCCTTGTTCTTAATGCCTGTCTGTGAGGAGTTGCCAGGGGAACTGTGTTCACAGGGCATGTTGGCATGGAGCTGAGCAGTCGTGAAGGTTTTAATGGAAGCTTCTCTGTGTGTTTCTCCTTGAGGGCTGGTTTTACTATTTGAATTCATTACCCTCGTGTTCCACATGTGTTTTTGGGTGCTTCACCTGGTGCCACACTCAGTTCCAGGTGGCTGGGCTATTGTGATGAACACAACCAAGAAGCATCCCTGACTTTGCATAATTGACATTGTGGTTGAGAATCATGGTAGCAGATGGTCATTACAGTGGTGCAGGCAAGTGTTGGGGAGTTGGAACTTTTGATAGGAAAACCACACTGAATGGGTGACAGTGGGGCAAAGATGGTAAGGGGTAGATGGGGCAGAGGGCCAGGCCTGGCATTTTGGGGGGTTAGCATGGACACCACTGTAGCTTAGGTGGAAAGAGGAGTGTGGTGAGGGAGGCCATGGTGGACTCTTAGTGCAATAGAAGGCTGTGGGTAGAGGGAAGACCTGAACTGACCAGGTTTTAATTGGTTCTCTCTGAGCTACATTGAGTGTAGGCCAGGGGTGGGGGGAATATCCTGTTGCCCCAACCACATAAAACCTTTAAAATCACTTGGTGTGGCCCTGCTAATGCAGCTGTAGGTGGGGCTTAAAATTTAATAAATCTATAGCAGGCTAATTTTTTAAAAAACATTTATTTATTTGAAAGGCAGGAGTTAGAGAGGAGGAGTTACAGAGAGAGATTTTCCATCTGCTGGTTCAATCCCCAAATGGCTGCATTGGTAGGGGGCTGGGCCAGGTTGAAGCTCAGAGCCAGGAGCTTCATCCAGGTCTCCCACATATGTGGCAGGGGCCCAAGCACTTGGGCCATCTTCTACTGCTTTCCCGGGCACATTAGCAGGGAGCTGGATTGGAAGTGGAACAGCTGGGACTCTATAACCAGCATCCATATGGGATGCAGGCACTGCAGGCTTTGGCTTAACCTGCTAAGCCATAAATTGGCCCCAGGCTATTTTTTTTTTTTTTTTTTTTTTTTTTTTTTGGACAGGCAGAGTGGACAGTGAAAGAGAGAGAGAGACAGAGAGAAAAGTCTTCCTTTCTGCCGTTGGTTCACCCTCCAATGGCCGCCGCGGCCGGCACGCTGCGGCCGGCGCACCGCGCTGATCCGATGGCAGGAGCCAGGTACTTATCCTGGTCTCCCATGGGGTGCAGGGCCCAAGTACTTGGGCCATCCTCCACTGCCCTCCCTGGCCACAGCAGAGAGCTGGCCTGGAAGAGGGGCAACTGGGACAGAATCCGGTGCCCTGACTGGGACTAGAACCCAGTGTGCCGGCGCCGCAAGGCGGAGGATTAGCCTAGTGAGCCGTGGCGCTGGCCAATTTTTAAATTGATAATTTTATATGGCCTGTGAATGATGTTATAAATATCCAAATGACCCTTGGCAGAAAAAAGGTAGGCCTAGCAGCTTCCTCATGCGGACCATTGGTACCCCGTGTCTGATCTGAGCATTGATTATACTTTGCTATTGCATATACAGCATGCTGTTGGGTCTTTGGCATAAGTTTATTCAACTTCTCTGGACACAGATCTCTTTTTTGATAGCTGGTGAGAAAAGGGACTTCCATTGTGCAGGGGTAGTGATATGTTCTGTAGTGATGCACGGGTGGCTAAAAATCCTGGAAGATAATATAAAGTTCTGGGCAGCCCCTTGTTCCGTTTATCCACCAAATGGAAAAATCCTCCCTATGCTTTGCTCTGTTTTCCTCTTAGATCCAGTCCCACACTCCTCTCCCCACTCCGCTGTGGTCAGGCTGCTCGCTGAGGATGTGCCTTCATTTATTTATTTATTTATTTAAGATTTATTTATTTATTTGAGAGGCAGAGTTACAGATAGAAAGAAGCAGGGACAAGGAGAGAAAGGTCTTCTGTCTGTTGGTTCACTCCCCAAATGGCTGCAATGGCCAGAGCAGGGCCAGTGCAAAGCCAGGAGCTTCTTCCTGGTCTTCCATGCAGGTGCAGGGCCCAAGACTTGTGCTATCTTTCACTGCTTTCCCAGGCCATAGCAGAGAGCTGGATCAGAAGAACAGCTGGGACTTGAACCTGTGCCCATATGGGATGCAGACACCACAGGTGGAGGCTTAGCCTACTGTGCCACAGCACCAGCCCCGAGGATGTGCCTTCTGAAAGAAGGAAACCGTTTGTGGTGTGCATTCCCCGCTCCCTAGAGCTACCTGTTAGACCATGGCCTGGACACATGTGGCAGATCTCTGCACTTTTCAAAGATGCAAACCTGAGCCATTTGGCGTTTGACCCTGTCCGTTCGTTTTAAGTGGCATGTGGTAGACTTGCCCACAGATGTCAGTCGACCAGCATACTTTGAACAGAATAATAATAACTTTCACATCTGGTCCCCTTTTCATCTAGGGATCTTAAAACCCCAAGTGCATATTAATTAAACCTCACATCTCTGGAAGGTAGGGAGGCATGGAGGCAGTCACTTTAATCACCACTGCAAAGGACGTGGAGGGACAGCCCCTGGGCCCAACTCAGTAACAAGCATTTTGCTCCGAAATGCCTTTCATCTAGCATCTTAAAAATGCCACAAGTATTACCTGGTGGGAAGTGCATTATCATACACATCTGTAGGGAGTGGGAAATAACCCTGGGATACTAGGCCTGCTAGCTTTTCAGTATTGGCCTCTGGGGGACTTCATGCAGTTCTTGGGTTCTTTCTGCTTCATGCACATTATCTGGAGTCTAATGGTGTGGACTGGAGCCTGGTGCAGTTGCCAGTAAGGCTGTTTGGTTTTCTGTGCATCTTTGTTTGCTGTGCAGATGGGCAGGATGTTCCTTTTCAGACTTCTGCTGTTTTCCAATCTGCTAATAGATAATTCTCAATGGCCTGGGATGCTCTCCCTCCAGAAGGGCTCCCAAATGAATTGACATGACAAAAAAGCGGTAGAGAGCCTGTCTTTCTCCAGAGGAAAGAGTTCAGTCCTGGCTCCGGAGGCCTTTGAGCTCACCAGTAAGAAAACTGCAACACAGCCACAGCAAAAGTAGAAAATTGTGTGATCTTGTCTTTAATAGGCCGATAATCCAGCTTCTTGCCTGTGAGAGGGGAGTTAGGGATCTGGCTCTTAATAAGATCAGGTATTTATGTGCACAAGGTTTTGGCATTAGGGTGGTTGTGGTTTCCAAATGAGTGGGCTTCTTTGATTTTAAATAGGAAGTTTTTTGCTCTGTATTTAAAAAAATTCCTAAATGCCAGTGTAAAGTATGTTTCTGATTTTTCAACATAATATTGCCATTATGGAAATAAAGAATAAAGTAGAAAAATACTGAAAAGTGTGGGCTCTTTAAAGCTCCCTCCATGTGGCACCTCCAACCTCTGGATTCCTGGTTTCTTTCCCACTTTATGAAAGTTACAAACATATCTGTGCTTCTGCAGATACAAGGTGAATGTTTATATATTGTTTTATTTAATTTTTCTAAAATGACTTATTTAAAAGGGAGAGAGAGAAAGAGAAAATCTTCCATTTAAAGGTTCACTTCCCAAGGGGCTTTAATAGCCAGGGCTGGGCCAGGCCAAAGCCAGAAGCCAGAAGCCAGGAACTCCATTCAGTTCTCTCATCCTCTTATATCTCCCTGGTTCATTAACAGGAAGTCAGATTGGAAGCACAGCGGCTTGGACTGAAGCTGGTACTCCAGCAGGCTTGCGCCACAACTCCTGTCCCTGTTTATATTGTTTTAAGTGAAGGCCCTTCCAAATAAACTCTAAAAGCATACCCTATGATGCTGTATACTTCCATGATTCTTTCTTAATAGTAACAAACTGTTAACAAAAACTCTTCTTATTCTTTTTTTAGATTTATTTATTTACTTGAGAGTTACAGACAGAGAGAGGGAGAGACAGAGAGAAAGGTCTTCCATCTGCTGATTCACTCTCCAAATGGCCACAGTAGCTGGAGCTGAGATGATCCAAAGTCAGGAGTCAGGAGCTTCTTCGAGGTCTCCCATGTGGGTGCAGGGGTCCAAGCACTTGGACCATCTTCTGCTGCTTTTCCAGGTGCATTAGCAGGGAGCTGGACTGGAAGAGGAGCAGCCAGGACTCCAACCCATATGGGATGCTGGCACTGCAGGTGGAGGGTTAGCCCACTATGCCATAGTGCCAGCCCCAAAATCTCTTCTTCCACTGCATTGTTGTAGTGTTGCTGTGCTTGTTTGCCTCGGTGGAACAGAAGGTGTGCTGTTATGGGATAGGTATTCACCATTTCCTTGTGCTGTGATGACCTTTGTTAGTGGTGACATTATCAGACTGTTACTTAAGTAGGTCAATAATTAGGGCAAAGAAATGACTTAGAAATCACTTTGTGGTTTAGAATTGAAATAAAGCAAAGTCTTTGTCTCCAGCAAGAACAGTGTGTTTTCTAGTTGGGCCTTTGAGCCCCTTTGCTGGTGACCCTGTGGATGGAACCCTGGAATTCTGAGCTTTGTGACAGCTCTCCCAAAGTGCCGGCAGAGGAGGAAGCCTCAGAGCAGCTCCGCCACTCACCACTGTGTGGCCTTGGGCAAGTCACCGAAACTCCCTGTGCTTCAGATCCTGCCTGGGGATAAGTTCTTTCCTGCTAGCATTGCTGGGAAAATGAAAATATTTCTCCAGCACCTGACTCAGAGTAAGTCTCTGCTGTAAAAGGCCTCTGCTGCTGTTGTCAGCAGTGTCATGGCCACTGTCTCTCTCGCCTTGGGCTGGAGCCAAGAGGATAAAATTTTAGATTAAAAAAAAACAAACAAACAGACTTCTGCCACTTCTACTAAATCATTGTAGGAACCATGTTCAAGGCTGGTTTGATCTGTGTCCTGCTTTTGAGCTGAGGTTCTTGTCTCTATTATCCATAAAGTTGGACATCATGGAACTTAAAATTACTGAGCCTCTTTTTTTGTTCTTCCTCTCTTGATGTGTCCATAGTACTACTTTTTTTTTTTTTAATGCTTTAGCTTTTTAGAATAGTTGTGGGCTTACAGCAAAATTGGAAAGCACTGAGAGTTCCCATGAAATACCCCCCAACACACTCTGCCATTACCAGTTTCCCACCAGAGGGGTGTACTTGTTATAGTCAGGGAACCTATGTTGACCATTATTACCCAGACTGCAGAGTTTACAGCAGGGTACGTCCTTGGTGTGTTACATTCGCTGGGTTTGGCAGACATACAGTGATGCATATCCATCATTACCGCATCACAGAGAATAGTTTCACTGTCCTAAAAGTTCCCTGTGCTCATCCCTCCCTCTTCACCAACCCCTGGCCATCAGTGATCTTTTAGCTGTCTCCACACTTTTGCCTTTTGCAGCCTGTCATCTAGTGGAATCCTACAGTAGGTGGTCCTTGCAGACTGGCTTAGTGCGGCTTGCTGAGGTTTCTTCACTAATGCTCTTGTCTGTCTTCATTTTGGCTGTGATGTGCACCTCTACTTTAATCTTCCCCAGGGAACCTGAGTTCCCTGGAGAGAAATTTGGCTTCATAGCTGAGAGCAGCATGCCTGAATTGTGTTGGGGAACCATGAAGTGGGTCACACTTTGTTCAAGTTTCCAGTGACTGCTTGGCAGTCTTTCTGAAGTAGAACTAGAGCTATACATGCTGTACACACAGATACTTTTGAAGTTCTTCTGGTCTAAGGCAGGGATTGTGGCACAGTGGTTTAAGCTGATGCTTAGGACACCAATGTCCCATAGTAGAGTGCCTGCCTGTTTAAGTCCTGGCTACTTGCAATCCAGCTTTCTGCTAATGTTTACCATGCAAGGCTGTGGATGATGGCTCAAGTATTTGGGCCTCTGCCACCCATGTGAGAGACCTAGATGGAGTTCCTGGCTTCTGGCTTTGTCCTGGTCCAGCCCTTGCTGTTGCAGGCATTTGGGGAGTGAACCAGTGGATGGGAGATTCTCCCAACCCCCAAAATGGTGTTGTTCTGCCTTAAAAAGATAAAATCTAGCAGGTTTGGTTCCTAATATTCCGTGGTAACTCAATTCCGCGGACATAGGCATCCTAAATAACCAACTGCGGGATGGATGCCCCAGGTGGATTGTTAGACTACTGCCACTGCCTCACAGTGTGGTAGAGATGACAGAAAAATCCACCATGCATTGTGGCTAAGGGAAAGACAACGCAACAACAGAAATAGAAGGAAAGGAAGCAGAGTGTCACAGCCCAGAGTGTGGATTCACACACAGCCAGGGTGCTTGTCATTCTTGGGGCTTTAGTTCTTTCTCCTGTATCAGTATATATAGAATACCATAGCCTGGGTCACTGACAAAGAACAGAAATCATTTGGCTCATGGTTCTAGAGATGAGGAGGTCCAAGAGTGTGGTGCTGAAACGTCTTCTGGTGAGAACCTTCTTGCTGCTTCATGATGTGATGAAGGAACAAGAGAGAGCCGGGGACCCCAGACCCCCTTTGATAACAACCCAGTTTTGCAAAAGTGAAGCCACTTCCACAAAACTAGCATGCATGAGAGCAGCATGAATCTCCTTGTGAAATTGGATTGCTTGTGACCTAAGCACCTTTAGGTGCCACCTCCCAGCACTTCTGCATTGGGAGTTAAGGCCCCAACTCGTGAACTTTATGGGACACATTCAAACCATAACACCCTGTAAGATGGGGGATGATGGTGGTAACCTTATAGAGCTCTTAGCACCTTATAGAGCGTGTGTAATAATGGAGCAGAGTATCCTGTCCCAGCACACCTTTGTTAGTGTGGGCTGGGATCAGTTTCCTCCTCCATCTCCCATCCTCCCCTGCAGATGGGAAGTGTTTGGCTAGAGGAGTGCTCTGATTGGGGTTGTGGTGGGGTGGAGTGGGGAGGAACAAGGGTTCAGGGATGAGAGGAGTGGCGCCCTGAGTGAACCACTTCTTTCTCTTCTGTCTGTGATGTTTTAGAATTATCATGCACATTCATGGTGGATGCGTTCACATATGAGAGGCTTCACAAAGTTTATGGAATGTACATCCCTGAAAAACACAATTCATGGATTTCAAAGTTTCTTCTACTAAAATAAATTTGTCTTTTGATTTCATTTTCCCTGAAAATATATCTAAGCAAAATGAGGACAAGCAAAACTAACTCTTCACCAGCTTTCAGAAGTACCCACCATCGATATTTACTTTCTTTCCAGTTAGACTTCCTGTCTTCCTCTGCTGAGCTGGTTTATGCAGGATGCTGGGGATGGTTAAAGTTTTCTTGTGCTTCATTCCATCAATTTGGTTTCTTATAGGACCAATTTTTACTACATCTTTTTACATACATCAGCTATGATGCTCTGGAGACACAAACCTCAGGGACCACTTTGTAATTGGACACTCAGATCAAATACTCTTGAGTGAGAAACTAGGCTGAATCAGATTTTTATCTATTTATTACCAAGGCAGAGACAAAATAACAGTGAGATTTGTATAACCAAACACTTGTAATTTTTTTCTTCCAGCTCAGAGCCCAGTTGATTTATTTCCCAAGTATTACACTGCTTTTGTTGTACTATGGCAAAATTAGCAGGTTTTACAAGTCAGATTTATAAATAGAAAATCTAAGTGGGAACCAGAACACTGGTTTTGGGTTCTTGAGAGTTACTCTCTCTGCAGAGTAGTCTCTTGACTGCCTCCTAAACCATTGAGAACGCATGCTGAAATTTATTAGCCCATGGGCAAGCATCACAATGCACCTGAATATCTGTTAGTCTGGAAGTTCATTTTGAGCAACACAATAAAATACTCCTATAAGAACAGGAGCTGTAACCGAATTCCCATTTAACTCCACCTTGCAACCCTGGCATTGGTCTGTGATTGGGCATTAGGCTAACAGAAAATAATGATTCTGAAATCCTCTGTTGAATGGGTAAGTGGTTCTGTGTTTTGGTTTCTAGGAACAGCTCTGCTCAGTGGTAGCTGCATGAGAATATGAATATGTAGTAGGGTGTCTGATCAAGTAGGCACATGTAGTCTGTCCTAAAATTGGAAAGTAACAGATGAGTTAAACACAGTATTTGAATTCTTGTCAACCCACTTGAAACTGAGAATTTGGTGAGGATAGAGCTTCTTGGGATTCTGGTTGTAGAGCTATTTTTCTAGTGCAAGTTCTGTATGAATTGACAGAGACGGAGGAGTCAGCAGATGGAGCTCAAAAGATTGACGTCACTGTTGGTAAATGGAGGCTTGAAGGTTTTGACATGGAAGTACAGCAGTGGGTCGCTTAGATATTCCTGACCGGTAGAGTTTGGTGGACTTACCCACCTGTGTAGACCTAGCACTGGACAACAACAGGCTTCCTCCCATGGACCAGAATCTCTCAAATTACCTACTGTAGCCTACAGCAGGCTGGGCCTTGGATTCCCCAGAGGCCTGGAAGATCTCTAAGAGAGGGGGAAGAGAAAGGCATATGGGATCATTCTACCAGGTCCTCTGCACTGCTCAGCCAGTGCCTGGCCTCCCCAGACCATCCTGAGATACCAGAGAGGCCAGGAAGTTTTACTGTAGTTGAGGATCTTCCATGTCAGAGGCCAGGGGAACACAGCAGACATGAGCCCTCAAGGTTCATATGATGATAGTATGGAAACACAATTATTTTAGCAGTTTTGAACTGATAGAAGATCATACTGAATCTTGAGTTTTCCATGAGTGAGTAATTGTGCCCCAACCATAGGGTGAAGAGAAGAATGCCATATTTGTATTTTAATGGACTTCTGTGTTAATTTCCAGGAGATTCAAATACCTTTGAAGCTCCTCCATGGATCCTGTCCTAAGAATCTGTATCCTGGGTCAATTCCCAGGACCTGTGCCAAAGGGCTTAAATTAGTTGGTCTGTGTGACCCCTGCCCTTTAAAAACCTGAATGCTTTAAAAATACAAGCAGTTGCATTTGGAAAATGGTAATTTGCATCTGGCTAGTGCTTTTCAACTGAAAGTTGAGGCTCATTTTGGGTGTATAAAAATAATTTTAGTGGTTTGGGGCCAGCACTACCAAAAAATACAGTGGAATAAAATAGAGAATAAGCCAGGCTGTATGACTATATGTCTATATACTGAGTTGAAAAATATGGGTCCCAGTAGGGTTAGGGAGTTCAGGATCCCACTAACATTTTCCTATCTTACAATCTACCCCAAACATTTGTCCCTATACTGTGTTGTGGTTCCTGTTAAGCCAATAGGCTCAACTCCTTCTGTTGAGTCTCCTGATTTCCCTTCTTAGTCAAAGTGTTTGAAAACCCCTTTCAACTAAGGAGCAGTGTGATCTCCACGTTAGTTAACTACCTTAGACAGGAGACTACATCTTCTTAGCCTCAGTTTTCTCGTCTGTATAGGGGTCCTACGAATAATAACATCCTCAGAAGATTGCAGGGAAGACTGAATGAGCTTCTGTATGTAAAATGCATAGCACAAATTATCAATAAAGGTTGACCATTATCCTTAGTTGTTGTACTGTTTGTAAACTAGGCAGGAATCACATTTTAGATTCAGTTTCACAGAATCTGCTAAGTTGTCCATTCTGGCCGTATTAGCCAACTGGGTGAGCACTCTGGATCCTACAGTGGTGTCCATGTTTCAAAAGCATCTGCTTAATCTTTTTCTTTTTGTTACTATAGTCTATTTAACTTGAATTTTTATAGAAATTCTTTTGCCCCCACATG